GTCGCCTCACTACCGAACAGGTTTCTTATTGTCTGATCCAAAATTGTTTGTTTTCCTCTGACTGATTGGGCTAATGTAATAAATATATATGTTTTCAGGTGCATCTGCTTGAGAAAAGCTTCGAGACAGAGAACAAGCTTGAGCCAGAGCGCAAGACACAGCTAGCTAAGAAGCTTGGTCTACAACCAAGACAAGTAGCTGTCTGGTTTCAAAACCGAAGAGCTCGTTGGAAGACAAAACAGCTCGAAAGAGACTACGATCTTCTCAAGTCCACTTACGACCAACTACTCTCTAATTACGACTCCATCCTCAAGGACAACGCTAACCTCAGATCCGAGGTATTACTATTTTATACATGTCACCATTAATCTCTAATTATCCACAAAATGGGAGATTAGTATAAAATGAAGTGATCTATACCTTTGCCTTTATTGGTCCAAAGGAGAAAAAAAGGCATCAATTGAAAAAAGAATTTTGCTGCTTTTTTCCTTCAAGACGATTTGAAAAGATAATCAGAAAGGGAATAAATGTATATAAATTCACTAAAAAAAGAAACAAAATTGGGAATCAAATCAAATCAATCAAAGGAATTTTTTAAAAAAATTTGATATCTTTTTATGGAAGGTTGCTTGTGTTGACCGTTGTGATTAACTTTTTGATGGAATCTTTCTTGTGTTTCCACACAGGTTACTTCGCTGACCGAGAAGCTCCAAGCCAAAGAAGAAGAGACAGCTAATGAACCACCGGCTCAAGTACCCCAACCCAATCAACAACTCGATCCGGTTAACGTAAACCGGTTCGAACCAACAATCAAAACCGAAGACCGGTTAAGTTCAGGGAGTGTTGGGAGTGCGGTACTAGACGAAGACGCACCTCAGCTTTTAGACAGCTGCGACTCTTACTTCCCAAGCATCGTACCGATCCACTCGGAAGAAGATAACAACAACAACAACGGTAGTGATAATGACCGGAGCTGTTTCGCCGATGTCTTTGTGCCCACCACTTCGCCGTCGCACGATCACGGTGAATCGTTGGGACTATGGGGCTGGACTTGAAATAAAAAGAAAAGACGATCAATTTATAATTATGTGTGTTTTTGTTTAAGTACAGTCATGTCGTTTCCATGTTGTGGACTTGTGAAAATAATTTCCCAGTTCCACGGTATTGTATCAGTTATATTATCTACTCTTAATGAAATCAAGGTTCAATTATTGGTACCAAAAAGGAAAA